GTTATTTATTTAATTTTGTATTTATGAGGACAATGAACTGCCAGCCCCCAAGGTGCGTGCTTTTTTTCACTTTGTTTATTTTGGCTCTTCTAAAAGGAAACCAAGGATGTGTTTTGCTTTGGAGAAATAAATTTGGCATCGGCCCTGTCTGAGAAGACCTCTCTATGATGGAAAATGAGTAAATAAACCACTCACTATAGCTTTCCCTGAAGAGACTAATACACTGTACTGTGCTGAACAGTGCACTTCTGAGAGGAAACAGGGAATACACCAAAGTGACCTCCTTGACCCAAACGTTCCGGAGTTTGTCTACTCTGATCATTGCTCAAATATATTTTACCCAAAGTCAACTTCTTTGCTGTGGCAAAATTTCAGAACTTGTTTTATCCAAGAATTCAAGCAATGCTGATCTGGGTTCCCATCCACTTGTGCAGTACGAGAGTTTAATGATTCATGAAGGAATGAGTTTGTTGGTTTGTGTTGAATAAATATCTATGCATGACAAAAGATATGCAAGCAATATGTTTAAAGGGGAAGACAGCATTTTTCAGATGATTATGGCATTTTCCTTTCAGTCTTACGGTTCACAGAACTCCTGAACACATGCTACAGTCATCCAGAAACCCATATCTATTGCAGTTAATTATTGTACTAATTTTTACCATATGTTAGTTGAGTGCTCATTGTAAATTCTCCTATCCACTCATTATATTCCCAAGTCCTTTCAATGAATGATATTCCAAACCATAGGTTATTAGAACTATGAATTGCAAATATTTATAATGAATTACACAACTTGTACTGCAGCCAGAGAAACAAACCTTTGTATATGACATGTGAGTTGCAATCTCAGCCATTGAAAAATGAATAGGGCGTGAATTTCGGATTGTAGCCACACCTGCAGATTTCAATTCGCCATTTGCATGTGTCCTGCCTGAATTTTGCAGTCGATGGTACACATCAGAATTGAAATAGGTGAATATCCAGGGGTATTTTCTTTCAAAGTTGAATATTTAATTCTAATACTCTTTCCCACCATACACATAGATCCAGCTATAACCAAATCCTATCTCCTGGCTGTTCATGACATCTTCAAAACACGTTTTGCACCACTTCTTACCCCACCCAAAGAATGGGTGTCTCTCACACCAGCTGATGGAGAGTTCAAGAACAAAATAGGTGACAGGAAATCCTTTCCCCATCTTCTGATTCATAATTCAGAGATAAAGTGGGGTGGTTGCCAGGGGATTAAGCAAGCTGTGGTCACCCTCACATCACGGTCAAGCCACTGTGCAGTCTGCTCCCTTGCCCCATAGCCATTGTGGTTTCACAAAAAGTCTCTCCCCACCTGGGTCACCCAGAGCACCACAGTCTTCACAGTTCACTTGAAAAATAAATTTTAAAAAAAAGAAGGAATGAGAACTATCTCCCAAGTGGTCTCAGTCTGTGTGTGGTGAGGGCGTCTGTCTCTTCTCACTGTCGTGTTTTATTGCACTCTGTTCCTTCTTCTTCTTTTTTTCCCATTCCTAATATAAATGTGAAAAATCCCAAAATGGGAATGTCAGAACATTTTGACACTAAAGTTATCGAAAGAAAAAAAGAAGAAATGCCTTCCGTCCCTGGAAGGCACTCTCACAGCTCAGATGCATCCAAGAGCATGAGCCTGAATTTTAACAGTGACAAACGTATTTTTGCACTTGCAAATGCACCTGTGAGATGATTGTGAGCAATGACAGAATGGTTTGGACAGGTAGAGCTGAAGGAAAGTTCAGATCTTCTCAAGACTGGAAGTGGAGAGGAGTTAGAAATCCCAGACCTACTGTCAACCACTCCTGACTCCCTCTGAGGCTCAATGACTCACGTCAGCTTAACACATAGTTGCAAATCTGCGGGTTTTGGGGAAGGAACTCTGCCCTAGATCAGCACAAGGTCTATCCTTCTCTTCACTGATCTCCCTGCCAGGGTACAAAAAGCAGCTGTAAAATCCCACTTGCGCAACTTCCCCATTTACAGAAGCTCTTGGTCAGGAAGAAACAACTTTGAGGTTGGAAAAGAAATGTGTGAGCCAGGTCCAGCCCCACAGCTTCTCAGTTGGGTTGGTATGAAGCCAACCCATACAGGAAGCTTTCAATATTTCAGCTGCTGGGCACAGACCCCTTGTATTTCCCTGCTAGTAAAGCAAAAGTATGTCATACCTTGAGAGAATCTGCCTCACTGAATTTCTCGTCCATTCATGCCGAGTTCAACCTTTTTTGCATTTAAGAGAGAAGCACTGAAGAAATGCAAATTCCTCAAGTGAGGTTAACTGTCCAAAGACTACAGTTAGTCAGTTTTCCTTTAATCCCCACACCTCTATCATCACCAGTGCATAATCTGCACCAGGGAAAGAAGTCACGCTTTTCTCATCGGTTACAAAGCTGAGGAAAACAATTGCTCTGGGAAGTGCTGATGTGCAGAACCACATCCCTCCGGCATGCGGAGGGAGGAGGGGATGCGGCAGCAGGAATCGAGTGCCTTCTGTGGAGCTGGAGTGATATGGAAGGGCGGGAGATAATCTGACTTGCGCTTGTAGCATGTTGTAAAGAGGCAATGTGCTCTTACCCATGAAAGTACTCATAAAAGCTGGAAGTGGACAAGATGCCCTGTGCAGGTTTGGTTCTTATGGGGCCTTTTGCAATGGTTGCCACATCTAGATTGACAGGACTGTTAATACATTTCCATGGATAACTTGTAAGGGGGAGCAGAGTGGTACAAGTGGGACGGTGAAACTGGAAATGAGGAAGCCCTGATCTCAACTCCATGGTGGGATCCACCATTTACTGCAGCCCACCAGAGCCTCCCTATTTGGCTGGCGTGGCCAAGACCATGGCCACCTCTAGCTTTGAAGCAGAGGTGACTCTTCACATTTGCTTTGGCCATCGCAGGGACATCGATATGTTTAAAAAGAGTCTCAAAATGAGGAGTTTGTCAGCTCAGGGACACTCAGCACAGAATGAAGGAAACCCCCAGCAGCTCAGCCCTCCTGGAGGTGTGCAGAGCCTCCCCAGCCGCTCGCTCTCTTGGGAGCCCGTCTCCACTGCCCAGTGTCCCCAGGGCAGTGCTGGCCTGAGCCTGCCTGTCCCACAGGGCACAGGCAGGATGATGAGGTCTCACAGCAAGATAACTTAGTGCAAAAGCAGTGAGACAACTTGGAGACATGAGGAGGCACCGGCATTGCCATCTGAAGGATGAAGGACTGAAGGAATTCACCTTCTGGGCTGATGGGCTCCCTGCCCTCCACATCTCAAGCCCACACAGAAGAGAGGCTCCCTGTCTTCTCTCTGCCTTGTATACTTAACAAAAGGTATCTTGTTGCTGTGCTTACTAGCCAAAATAGATGCCACTCTCTCTTTCTTTGTGTTCAGGCCACCGGGCTGGCCCCGTGGTGAGAGCACGGAGCCGTCCCGGTTAAGCGGGGATGGGAGCGAGCCCTCCCTCCCTTTTCCCCATGCAGGGACACCTTTCCAGCGTTCGCCCCCACAGCTCCCCAGCCAGAGGTACTGCCTCGCTCACTGTGGGATGGCACAATGCGTCCAGTAACGGCTGATCTCTCAATCCTTCTAACCGCAGCAGAGGAGCATCTGGCTTGTCCCCGGGAGCACAGCTCTGACAGAAATACAGGCTGAGCATGGCATGCATCCATCACAGACAGAGGGCTCTGGGACCATAGCCCCCAAACAGGTTTTAATCAGCAGAAGACAAATACGTTGTAATGTCCTTCATGACTTAAAAGCTTGAGAGGTCTGTCTCAAGGTTGTGACAAGCCCTGCCCCATCTTCCATCCATTATACGGCTCAGGACTCTTTCCAAAACTTCAGACATCATTGCAGAAGGGAGCTCGGGGCAAACTAGCAGATCAGACTCAGCTGGCAAGTGCTCAGTATCTGATTTAGTCTCCAGATGAGTTCAGCTCTGAACACAAATATGGTTACCAAGTCCTCATCTGCATGTGAAGAGCCATGAATCCATTTCCCAAAGGAACCAGATCTCCTCTAGACAGTTGCACAGAAACACCTATGGGGTTTTTTTCATAGATTGCAGTTTGTTCTGATATTATGAGAGATAATTGTTCTTCCCTGCCTTCCTCCTGTGCTTTGCCTCCCACCTCTCCGCTCGGCGAGGAGAAGACCACAGAGGGTGCCTCATACCACCGAGAGCCCTCCGAATCCCTCTGCAGCCCCGCAGTGCACAGCCCACACACTCTGTCTTGCAATGAACACATTGTGGTACTCAGTGAAGGATGGGGGTTGTGAGGTGCGGGGTTTGAATTCACTGGGACCCCAAACTGCCAACCAGCAGGACTTTGTCCTGTAGCCTGTGTGAGACACACTCAGCTTCCAGGGCTCCTGCAGAGCTGGGTGCTGCTGAGCTTGCACAGGGGCAGGCTTTGACTGGGTTCTAGTAAAAGGCAGACACCCCAGCATTTTCTGAGCTGCTAAAACACAACCGCAAGTATCTCTCCCCGCAGAGAGCCATTGAAGTGCCCCAGCAGGGTCAAGACGTTTGGGGAAGTTCATCCTTTGCCTTTCATTAGTTCAGCAGACGCAGCAGTGGCTGGTGGGGCTACAAAGGCAGAAGCTGAGAAGGGACAATGGGCGTCATGATCCCTTTGCTAGAGAAGACGGAGTAGGCAGCCTCCCTCAAGGTGCTCCCCGTGGGGTCAAGCTGTTCCCCTCAGACCAAACAACAGGCCAAAATGCATACATGACTTCTGCGCTCTCCCAACTCTTTCCTGAACACACTTCTGGAGAAACTGTGCATGCCAACACTTCTCTGTTACCTACAGACCCTTTTTTTTTTGAGCACCCTAAGGATTTCTGGACGCTTCTCTTGCCTCCTCCCTTTTTAAACAGTTAATCCATCAGATATTTCAAATGCAAAGCGAAACCAATCCTTTACGAAAACTCTGGAGAAGCAGTCTTTCTAGTGACTCCAGGCATTTAGCAGCATCCGAGAAACACTCACCTTAGTACATGAGTCGATCCATTTATTGTGGTGGTGGAACAGGGGACCGTCTGCCCCAAGATGGAAGGCCTTCGGTATCGCTCATCACCACAGCACAGGATGATGAGGAAGGCACGTCTGAAAGACTTGTTCAGGAAGGCGTAGAGGAAAGGGTTCAACCCTGAATTGATGTAGCCCAGCCACAGGAAAGCCGTCCACAGCTTTCCCGGCACCGTGTAGTTTATGAAAGGGTCCACTATGTTTGTGATAAAGAAGGGAGCCCAGCACAGGCAGAAGCACCCCATGATGATGCACAGGGTCTTGGCAGCTTTGGTCTCAGTCTTCATGCGGTGGGTGCTGTGCTGGTCCGGGTGGTGCTGCCGGCCGTCGGTGGGGGCCCCCGCGCGCTGCAGCACCCGGATCTGTCGGGCGTGCTCCCTGGCCGTGACATAGATGCGGTAGTAGGCCAGCACCATCAGGAGGAAGGGAATGTAGAAGGCCACCACGGAGCAGGTAATGGCGTATGGCTTGTTGACCATGAAGATGCAGTAAGTGGAGTTGGAAGCCTTGTTGAACTGCCTTTGCTGAATCTGGGGCGGGGGGAGGAAGGACAAGGACAAAGAAGGAAAGAAGCTCAGCACCGCTCCTCCGACAGCAGCAGTCTGTTTGCCAGGACACCTCACCACCGCTTTCCAATTCTCCTCCCTCCCCTCTCCCAGCCGCGGTACCTCCCTTGCCCACCGCTGCCTCTCCCGCCTGTGCTCACACCGTGGGCTCTCAGGCCCTGCTGGTCCCCAGGTCTGCAGGATCAGCCCGCGTTGCAGCTCCGGCTTCCTAGAGCATGCCTCAACCCGGCCAGGGAAAATCAGCCTAGGTCCCCAGTTCTGACACAGCGAAGGGGGATAACTTCTCTTCGTGCCATGCGTTTTTTTCAGTGCTCACTGCTCTGTTCATCAGGGCGTGGGTTTACAGCAAGGATGCACAAGTTTCACCCAGCCGAGTCCCACAGGGGTATTAGAGAAGGACCAGATGGACAGGGAAGGGACTGGGCTGCAGCATCTGGGGGCAGCTCCAGGCTGGGGGTGACACCGAGCTTCCCAGGCACTGGGGCTGTGGGCAGCAGCCCAGGCAGAAGTCTGCAGGTTGAGTCTGTAGGCTGTGATCTAGTCAGTGACTTGTGATGGAAACAGAGCGAGCAGAGAAGAAAGGCGTCTTGCATGTGAGTTTGGGGAGCAGGGGGCATAACTGGGACAGACGGGATTTCTCTGAGGCTATTCTTGCTACAAAAAAATATCACTGCAGGTTCATCAGGCCCATAATTTTTGGTGTTTATTTCAGCAGGAGAATAACCCCGTCTCCTATTTAAAACTATAATACCAAAATTATTTAATTGGGCACGTAAGGAAGTTTTCCTCTAAAGTAATCTATGAAGCATTCTCACTAGGTGGTGTTTGAACCCTGCACTACCTCTCAGCATGCAGCTACTGAAACTGGCATGGTGAACTCCAGCAAGTTACAGGGAAGGACAGGGCTCGCACTGGTGTTTAGAAAAGCTGGTATGGACAGCTGGGTGTTGAGCCTTTTCTGAAAAGGCGGGGGCAAGAAATTAGTGGAAGAAACCAGATAGCTGACATGGTTTGTTAAATAAACAAAATGCACCTCCCTTTTCTACCAGCTGCATGTCCTAAAGATGCTTGTCTGGAAGCAATTTTGGCTTTATCACCTTGTCTAGAGGCTTGGCAGCTTGCACCTGTTAGTCTCCACAAGCCAAAAAGTATTCATAGCTCCTTGACTGAGACTTGGCATAGAAGATGCCACAACTCTTTAAACAAGCTATTCTAAATAAGGTGTTTTCACAGTTTGCCATTTTTAATTCCTGCATCTCCACATTGGAAGGAGAACAGATTTGCAGCTCTTAACATCTTGTCCTGTAGACGGGATCCTGCAAGTGAAGCCAGACTGCAGTGGGGAAAATTGACTTGCATGGGGAAATTTCACCTTCTCCCCCATTTCAAGGCTCGCACCAAGACAGGGGATATTGATGGGACTGGCCCAAAGCACCATCCCTTCTGGGGATGTCTGGGTTTCCTGGCTCTCCAAACATCGCTAGCACGGCAAGGAGGGACCCTCGGGCTGAGCCGGCAGTGGCCAGCACTTCCCTGAGAGCTGCAGAGGCCAAGGGGAACCGAGGACTCCTGAGGTGCCCATCAGGAGCCAGCTGGAGCTCGGCGTGTTTTCAAAGTACTACTCACTGAACTGATTAGTAGATGCGGGTAAAATCCTCTCCCAGAGCCACCACTGTCTTTGTGACAGTCCTTCCAGGACAGAGTCATTTCAAACCCCCTTAAGGACATCCTCCAGAAATTCAGCAGCCCCTCTGCACTGATAACAAGAAGTTTCTCCTTGAGCTTCTCTTGCCTTCTTTTCTCTGAATATTGCTTTTTAAAGAATATACAGCACCGAATATATTTGATACCAGGTTGGTGTACCTCCTTTGCTACTCACCAGATCAATGATGCCAATGCTATTCCAGCCTTGCATGATAGGAAGGAAAGAAATAAATGTTGGGATTACCCAGCACCCTCCAAGCATTACAGCAATGCGCAGTGGAGTCATCTTGTTCCTGTAAACCAGAGGCTGGCAGCAGATAGCATAGTACCTGCAAGGAGAAAAGCGAGAGAACAACCGTCATCAAAGGAGACTTCCAAGTCTTCTAAAAATAAAACTGTAAAGCATTTTCTCCCGCTTGTTTCTCCTGCCTTTCCAAACAGAAAAAAAAAATGAGTCTATAGCCTATTTCCATTGACTGCCTCTCACACAAGGAGCTCAGGATGTTTTCACAGCATGAGTAAATAAGGTTTCATAGTGCCTTGCAGGGGAAAGCCAGTATTTTCTGTTTTCCAGCTAGGGAAAATGAGGCACAGACTAATGCTGTGGTTTGCCTGAGGTTGCAGAGCAAGGGAGTGACTTCATATTCAGCCCTCCTCTCCCTCTGCACTTAGTCACTAAGCTGTCTGCACCCTCCTTACCGCGGTGAATGAGTACACCTTCCTTCCATGTAGCCATAACTGAGTAACTGTTGGGGTTTTCCTAACTGCAATGGACATTTATTTTGACAAGACTGCAAAAGCTGTTATTGCAAATTAACAAAGTGTTTCAAAGCTGTGAAAATGTCAGTAAAATGAAGTGTGTTTTCCCATAACGAAGCTCCCTTTCTACCTCCCAGGAATCAGCCTTTTGCCTGGCCAGGCTTTAACCTTCTGCCACGAGGACAGGGCAACCATCTGCATGGGGCTTCTAGTCTTTTCACCATCAGGAGGACGTGCCCTGCGCTCTCCTTTCTCCTCCTGATCCATCCAATATATTCATAGTACAACAGGTTCCTGCTCTTAAAATAACAAGTAGCTATAATCTAAAAAAGTCTTCTCAAAGAGATAAGAACTCTTTCTCTTTGTTTGGCCCCTGTGCTACCCACCTGCTAGCGGATTTCTAGATCAGGAAGGTATATCAAACCTAAAACTGGAAACCTCATTGCTCTGAAATTAATATATGCCCATAAGCATAGCAGATCAGCAACCATATCATCCTACTGCAGATTTTTGGTGGTCCTGACCTGACAGTCTGTGTCAGGTTCCCAATGAAATATTTTTGATCTCTAGATTTTTGGATGTCAGCACACTTTGTAGAAATAGTACTGATGTCCCCATAGCTGTGACAGGGAACTGGGGTCCAGAGACACAAGAAGTGCCCATAAATTCTCAGGTCTTCTGAATAACTGAATGTATCATTCAGCTATGTGCCTGATGAATACATTTTCTTAGTGAATGAATAATGATTATCTGGTAGATGTAGTTTCCAGATTTGGCAAGCACAGAAATTATGCAATATGGTGCCCCCATAGGATAAGAGCATTGCATTGAAGAAGTGGCCACAGTTTCAATAACTATTTATAAAGGGAATGAATAATCTGTCAGAGATTTTTTTGAGTCAAGCCTCAACATCAAGGTATAATATGTATCTAGAGCGAGCCTCACTGCTGAATGCCTATAAAAGTTGATTTTATGAGGTTAGCAGAATCATGAGAGACATTAAATTAGCAAACACACACTAAAGCTGGACCATAACCTGAGGAGATGCCTGTGAGAATTTCTAAGTGCCATCAGCACATTAAAATAAGACATATGTGAATGCACCCATACCCAGTTTATGTGTATGCATTAGAGAGATGTCCTTAAGGTGTGCAATTTATTTCATCAAGATTTAAGTGGGAACCAAAACTTTTGTGCTAAACAGGCACAAAAATCTAGGAATTTCCAAATTTTTTAAAGACTTTTTTAAAAAAAAGTCATGTGGAGTCAACTGAATTGCTTTATTTTGATAAAATCAGATTATATTTTCCACACAAAGGGTTGAAATAATATCAAAGTGTCAAAAGAAAACATTTTTTATAAGTCTCTTTGAAACAAGATTCAAAATGTCACAGGGGAAAAACGTTGAAACAAGCATTCAACTATTTCAATTTGATAATTTCTACATTCTCTTCTGGTTTCACATGTGCATGAAAATCAGCTTGTTCCTCTGAAAAGTTTCACTTTCAAAGAAATGGTATATTTGACAGTAACTGTTCTTTAGAGCATTGGGTGAAATGTTCCTCTCATGGAGCTCATGCTAAGAGCCATGGCAGTCAGTGGGTCTGATTCCTGTCCCCACTAACATGGTCCTCACATCCCTCCCACGAGGGACGAGGAGAAGCTGAATAATTTACAGGAATAGGATTTACTTAGTTTTGGTGTTTGCCTTCACTGGATCGTGAGTTGAACAAGTGAGGGTATCCAGCCTCGAAGATATGCAAACCTCAACTGATTAAGGCCCTGAGTGACCTAATTAAAGGAAGACAGATTTAAGTTTGAGTTTGGCCCTGTTTTGAGAGGAGGGCTGGATTAGAGACCTCCAGAGGTCCTTTCCAACCTACATTTTTCTGAGTCTGTCAGACAATGAGGACCATTATGGTCAGATTTCAATATCTTAATGATTTCAGAGGATAGACTAAATATTTCCGTTGTTCCTAGGATAACTACCTTCCTCATGACAGCCACAATGTGTTTGTGTAACCTTGTCCTTTGTTGTTAGAGCTTATTGCTTTTGGATTTCCCCCTGCTCTCCTGATTTCCTTCCCCCAGGTAATAAACTGACCTTTGAATTCAAACAGGTATTTTCGGTAATGTTTTTGACTGCTTATTAGGACAGATGGTGCTTCTGTTGGCATTATGTGCAACGGCTCTTCTGACTCTAAACACAAGGGAGATATATCTGGCATATTTAATTGTTTACTATCTGAGAGGCACCTACTGGAAAGTGCTACCCAGTGCTGGACATCAAAGGATTCCTGTAACATGCCTGATGGCAAGTTACTGCAAGTCACAAGAGACTACATTTATTTGCAGAAAAGGCAGAAGAAGAAATTCAATAAATAAATGGGAAAGAACAGCCAAGACACCAGCTACCATTTCACAAGTTGAATAAGCAAACAGAAAAGGAAAATCACGATACATTGCTAATTAACTAGAGCAGGAAAACAATTCTTCCAGGCAGTTTGAGTTATTACATTTCTGTACTTCTATCTCTGCTGCAGCTGACAGCATTACACTGACTTGTACACGCTACTGAAGGCCATTAGAGTAAAAATTATGCCTGTAAAAATGACATCTTAAGCTCTCATATTTCTTCCCTCCCAGTGATTCAGCAGCAATTCTCCTCCACTTACATGTCAAAAGATTATATATATTTTTTTTTTTTTTTTGCTAACTGCTGCTACCATGACTTCCCCTGTGTTCAGAAAGTCGAGCTGGGTTCCTCCTGCCCTATGCTGTTATCGGTAACAGGGTTCCACAATTGGAGTGTGGGTGACAATTTTGCTGATTGCGAGGGAGGCAGAGAAGCACACCATCCACTTTTCCACAGCTCAGCAGGATTTCCATTCGGTGGCCCCAAGAGTCAGATAATAGAAATCTGTGTATGCTAACAGAAGTCATTGAAGTCACACCGATTTTTTGCAGTAGCTGGTGATTTGATGTATGTGATGGTTTGGGCATTTAAGCAGCTATTTATTCACTGAGAGAAAAGTAATTATATCTCTAAGATTATCAATAGTTTTAGTCAAAAGCTGAAATAAAAACATTTTCTTATTCTACATTTCTGCTTCCTTTCAAGCTAAAGCTGTTTTCCTGTGCTCCTAAAGAATATCTATTATGTACCAGTATGACAGTGTGATGGATTAATATAAAATGTAATACATACACATGATTAATATGATGTCCAGGTTTAATTACATATTAATTCTTACTATTATCAGTCAAGACCCACGTTTCTGCAGTTTCTTGAAAATGTTAACTTCCCTGTTACCTACAGCAGAGCAGATGATGTGAAACACATGCTCTCCCCTGCCTGTGTTACACCATTCTTCGCTGAAGGGGAAATACAAGAATCCCTTCCTGGAGCTTTAGATCTTCCAAGTAGCTCCATAAAGCAAAGGTTATTATAATACTTTTCCTTTCCCATATCAGACATTTGCCACATGAATGAATCAAGTGCTAACATTTTACAGATGGCTCAAAAGAAGAAATCCATAGCTCCTATGGCCTTACTTACGGCTTTTATGGCCACTGCAGGTATGTCCGGCTACCGAGGGTTTGCGACCTGCCCAGCGTCACTTGGTCACTCCGTGGAACAGTGCAGTGGCCAAGGAACATGAATGTGATGCTTCCTGGTCTTCCAGTGGAAGTTCCAGCGATACAGATGTGGGGGGACCAATTAGTGCCAAGTGGATCAATTCCCAAAGTGGACCTCATGTGTTATGAACACTCTCCCAGCACCTCCGAGGGGATGCAGGTGCACCTCTATTATGTTCATGAAAGCTATTAAAAATGCTGAAGGTTCAGTGACTCAGTGCCCCAGTCTGCAGGGCAATCTCCTCCCTATTCCTACACGCATCACCAGCAGGAGCTGCCGCAGTCACTCATATACACAGTGTCCACGACCTGTAAGAGCAAAATGTTTTATCCTTTCCCAACAGGACTGGCATTTTGCCTGTTGGCGAGCTCTTTACAGTCAGTGCTACGTGTAAAAGCAGAAAGCAGATATAAATGCCTGATGAACTGTATATCAGCAACACATTGGTACCTAATAGCCTTCAGCACTTTGGGTAGAGAAGACATAATATCACATTCCTCAGTGGCAGGATCATGGACAGCTTGCCTAATGTTAAGCTTGTGTATATGTGAAGATAGGAAAGGGCAGAGAAGAGGGAAGCTGTGAAGCCAAAGAGAAAATAGAAAATGAACCTCAGTTGTATTCTTGCCTTGTACAACTGAATGCTGAATCTGCTGTGGTGGCCCAAGGCTTCTGTGGAAATGTAAGTGCTGTAAAACATGGGTGTTTGCTGTTGCCATTTTGCCTGTATGAAAGATCCCATGCATATATGCACACACATGTATGCACACTCCTTGTATCATACCCTGCCTTTCCTCCAGGAAAAAAGAATAGAAAAAAAAGATTCTTGAAAAGCACATCAATTTTTAAGTGATGACACCTGTAGATATTACAAGTTTATAGCTTCTAGGTTCTTGTAGACAAGAAAGGAAAGACTGAGACTGAGAAACA